TTAACCTCTTTTAAATGTCGCAAGTATTAAATTAGATTTCTTGTTTAAGTGGTAGTATCCTTTCAAAAGGGTCGCTACAAATGATGGGGTGAGATTTTGCGCACAGGTGAAAATATTGAAGAAAAGGAAAGAAAGTGATGGTCATGCCACATTTTATGAGGATAGCAGTCACTGAGCCTAAATGACAATACCTTTGCACTCATCCCTATTACGAGCCTTGAAAAAACCTTTTTGATCTTGAGTGAGCTGAAGTGATTGTTGACTAGAAAATAAGGGTAAACCAATGGGTGAAGTCATGCATGCGTTCGTCTTTGTGAGTGTAAGAGTTGTATGTGATTCCAGAACTATAGTTTGTTGAACAATTGTGTGTGAATAAGGAATAATTCTTGTTGTGATGGCATTTGAGTACCTATGTTGAGCTTGAACTGGCATTTGAAGCAAGTATTGTGAACTTGAGAATCTTTGATAATGGTGAGTCACAACTTGAATCTTTGAGTTCACAATTGATCCTTGCATGAGTAAGTTGAGTCTTGTCATGTGCATTCATGATTGAGTCTTGTGTAGCACTGTTTGAGACATCCTTTTTGAACTGCTGAACTTGAGTATTACTTGAGGACAAGCAAAAGTTTAAGTTGGGGTGTTAATGAGTCCTAGATTTGGACGCATTTAGGGCTTTATTTATATAGATTCAGTGTACTCAAATGCTTATTTAGTACCAATAACGAATGTAAAACCATTGATTTACAGGTGTATCGATTTCAGGAACAAATCAAGGACACTAATTTGCAAAAAGGAACAAAGCGAGTTGAAAGAATGAAGAAATGCAAGCATGGAGATCGCCGAGTCCACTTGGTGAGTTGCTCAATGGCCATTTGACCGCTTAAAGTTCCACTTTGCCAAGCCATGAGGGAAGAAATCAAGTAGCCGATGGAAAGGAGCAGTCGGTGAATCACCGAGTAGTTCTATGATGCAGTGCTGGATCGCCCAAAGTTACAGGCCTTGAGGATTTTGAATGCCAAGGCAAAAAGGTGAAGAAAGTGACCAAAGGGCGGCTCGCCAAGTGGTTCGGCAAGCCCGACTTACTTCGCCAAGTGGATCTTTGCAGTATATTTTTGACGACTACAAATACATTTATGAATATTTAGTTTATTAATAAAATATCATAATATCTTAATTGTAGCTGACATTCTGAATACTGAGAAATGTTTTCTCTAGTTTTTCCTACGCTTTGAAGAATTAAAGTTTTTAACTTTCGAGAAATTAGAAGTGGATCTTTGAGATTCTTCAAATTGGAGCATTGTAAGGACGAATCTACAGTTACCCAGTTGATGGATAATCAATTTGGTAATGGTTTTACCTTTTTATGATGTCTAGCTAAAACCCCAATTCTTGGGTTGTGATTATGTGATTATGGGCTGATTTAGTGTATGGGTATTGCTAATTGTTAGTTTAAATGCTATTTAGAATTGAGTTCAATCATTAATTGTGGTTTAATTTAAGAATTGTAGTTGCAAATACAGTTCTACTCTGCTGCTTTTCGCTTGCTTGAGAGAGAGGTTTTGAAACTAAACTTATAGATTGATGGACACTGGGTATTGGGTTGACCTGGGTTAAGCTCGAGAGAGTGAATCCTAAACCCAATCCCACACATTCAGCTCGAGAGAGTGAATGGACTAAGGTGTGGGCTGTTCTTATTTTGCTTGCTTGTTGATGTTCGAGAGAAATCAAGTTGATTCGAGGTAAATTGTTCGAGAGAAAGTTTATCTCCTCTATAGCCTAGCTTACTCACTAATATCTAGCTATTTTCTAATAGTTGCATTTACACATTTGTCGATATTAGCCTATAATCGAATCACATCCCAATAACCCGTCTCATTATTGTTATTTTGTATTGTTTACTACTGTTTGTAATTGATAATTCCAAACCAAAACCCCCATTTGACACTCGTGTCACCCCCTTATTTGAATGATGTCTTTATTACATAATTTCTATTCCTATGACTGATTTGAACATGTTCATACTTTCCTATTGACTCTCAAACACGTACCGCTCCCTGTGGTATTCGACCCCAACTGATTTAGTTGGGTTTTATACTGACTAGCGATCGTTGACACTTAGAATTGGATGAAATGTCCTTGAAACGTTAATCAACTACCACGACTGACTCGATCCTAAAATGACAAAATCTTTGTGTGTTTTGTATAGTTTAAAGGGACTCTCCTTGGCCAAAGAACCGAAAACAACCTCCAAGGAACCCAAATAAAAACATAAAATAAAAGACAGACATATGACACTAACAATCTTCAATAATATATACAACGCAGAGAGAATTTCACCCCACCCCACACTTGAAATTTTAGCACTGTCCCTAATGCTTCAAAAAATCACAAAAATAGTACAGAGGTATAGTAAATCATTCCCTGATCATTCCTCCGTGGCATCTCCACCGTCGCCCTCATCACCGGCCAAAGCAGTGTCAACCTCCTCCGTCTCAGAATCGAAATCCACATCCGAGCCAGTGTGCAGCCTATCATCATCGGTCGGTATATCATCATCCATCGGCTCATGAAACGCAAGACCAATGCCAAGCAGGGATTTAGCATGTGCATTCAGCGGGTACCGCCTTTCGACTTCCCCCAATTGCACGTCACTCGACGCCCGACAGCCATTTAGGTGGTGCAACATCTCCAGCCCATACATTCGGGCCATAATCAGCTCATCACGTCGGTGGTGCTCCGCGGTAGTGAGTGTTGGGCCGAACTCATTGTCGGGCCCCTTTGTCTTCGTTATATCTACCGGTGCTAGGAATAGTGGTGCCATATAGTCCAATCTCTCCTCTGGTACACCTGCAGCACGACAAAGTCTAGTAATGATACCTCCAAATATGTACATGCGCCCGGTCCTTCCTCATAGCCGATTTCTTCACAACACTAATGTTCAGCTCACTGGGAGTCATCAAATAATAGATCAAACACACTCTATCCCGGGTGATATTCGTGTAGTGCAGCCCTGGTGTCGAACAATGCATCACGATATTTAACCAGACCCGAGCCTCTCTGAGCATGTGCGCGTAAGGAAGAGATTGGTAATACCTTTTTGCATTGTGCTTAGTCCACTGTACCATAGACTGGGGGCCACAAAGTGTGTGTCGAATGGCCCGGTAAGGTAGTCGAATATTCAGCCCTGTCAGCACCAATGAAACAGCATCAGGTGAAGTGCCAACTATGTCGTTCAGAACTGCGGGAGTGAGATTCACATCCACTCCCCGCACCTTCACAAAATTAGATCTAGACTCTGTCGCCCAGTTGACACAGAATTCCCAGACCATATGCAAGTTACACTCGGTTAGCTCGTCAAAGATGAACCCCATCTGAAACTCTTGGATACACCTCATTATTCTGGGAAACTCTCGTGCCAGACTATCCATGTCAATGCGCACATTAGAGAAATAATTTGCCTCTGTGTGCTTTTTCCACCACACTTTACCTTTCTTGACCACGGCTCGCAACTCGAACCTCGTGGTTTGACCCCTAGGTACTGCAGGTGCGGGAGGTACATTCCCCCCACTCTGAACACGCTTCCTCTAGCTTGAGGTTGCTATTTCCTTTCCTGGTTGCTGGGTGCCTGACATAATTGCCTATAAACATAATACAATCCATCCCAAGCAAATTAAACGACACAGATAAACATGAGTGATGTGCAAACATCACCCCGCACTTATTTCAGAGAATTATCCAGCCTTAGTACTCAGACTTCCCAAAGGGTGACACACACCCCCACTATAAAAACACATCAACATAAAATACATTCACAGTGCATACAGAAACACCACAGCATATTCAATCACACAAACTCAATTCACAGACCCGGATATAACAACACATAAGTTCACACAACGGTACACTATCAGTGTTCTTCAAGAATTCACACCATATTTTCATGCAACCATTCAAGACCCAAGACCCACAAAATCATGAAATAAATAATCTCAAGCAACAGCAACCCCAAATTTGTTTCCCTACCATGGTCAAACAATCCCATTCTACCCAAAATCCCTCACAATATCACCCAAAGGCAATTTCTACTCCAGAATTTGAAAATACCCACTAAAAATTTAGCATATACCACTTTCAATCATTCCCACTAACGCCCACAACTCCCCACAACCCTACTCGAAACAACATAACCCACATTCAAGAACACCCTACTATCGCAAGAGAATAACATCAAATACATATCTTGGGTGGTGAATTTGGAGAGAATTCAGATGAGAAAATGGGTGAGTTGACTTCGTGTTACGGATTGAACCTTGAAAATTCGCAAGGGGACAAAGGGAGGGAGAAAATCGCAGCTTAAGGAGAAAATAATGGGGGATTTGGGATGAATTTGGGGTTAAAAGGGATGGGGTCGGGTAATTTTGGAAAGAAAACGGGTAAAACCCATCTTTTTAATGAAAAATAAAACTATGGTACCTGCTCTGTTACGCGGCTGTGTCACGGAGTCTTCTGTCTCGATCTGGAGAATTAAATTTTTAGCGAGGCCAAATTTTGACTTTGCTCCGCGGCGCGGCTCCACTATGAAACTCCTTTATTTTTGACGAAAAAATTGAATTCTCATCAATCGAACTTTGGCAGCCTCCTCCGCGACACGGTTCCATTACAGACCGTTCTGCCTCACCCCAGAAAATTAATTCCTAGCAAGGTGAAATTAGCCTACTTCTCCGCGACGCGGTTCAGTCTCCCGTTACTGTTTCCTGCACATTTTTAGCACAACATTGATTAGCGTAAACCCGATGGATTACCTCTTATCCGGCGCCTTAGTTTTGGTCGTGGCAGGAATCATATTTCTTGTGCATTTTACTACTATATATGTTTTTTACTAATTCCTATGAATTGAAATAACAAAATAGAAAATCAGAAATGCTAACTACTACAAGGGGTCACGGGTGGCCTCCCATGTAGAGCCTGATTTAATGTCGCGGCACGACCTAGCTAATGACTCACTCGTCATTCAAGGTGAGCTCTTCTTGCTCAAGATCAACATCATTCCCGAAATAGTGTTTCACTCGTTGCCCATTTACAAGAAAAGTAGAGCTTTTATTCTTGTTTCTTGGCTCCACAACTCCATGTTGAGTCAGCCTTACCACTTCAAACGACCCACTCCACTTAGACCAAAGTTTTTCGAGGAACAACTTCAGTCTTGAATTGAACAATAACACCAATTGACCAGGCTCAAAGGTGTGTGACACAATATGCTTTTCATGCCACCTCTTAGTCTTCTCTTTATATAGCTTGGCATTTTCGTACACGTGAAGCCTGAATTCCTCTAGCTCATGTAGTTATGTTATTCTTTACTTGTGAGCTAACTCAGGGCCTAAATTAAACTTCTTGATAGCCCAGTACGATTTATGCTCCAATTCCGTTGGAAGGTGACACGTTTTTCCGAATACCATTCGATAAGGAGAAGTCCATATCGGTATCTTGTATGCAGTCCTGGATTCCCACAAAGCATCATCTATCTTTTCAGCCCAATCTTTCCACTGTGCATTCATAGTCTTTTGCAAAATTTGCTTTACTTCCCAATTGGACACTTCCACCTTCCCATTAGTGTGAGAATGATAAGTTGCGGCTACCTTGTGTCTCACTCCATATTTAGCTAGCAGATTTTGCACTGAACTAGTGATCAAATGCGTCCCTCCATCACTTATCGTAGCCCTTGGAGTTCAAAACCTGGTAAAGATGTGATTCTTGATGAACTTCACTACCACATTCGCATCATTAGTAGGTAGAGAAATCACTTCCACCCACTTAGACACATAGTCCACTGCCACTAGGATGTATTGATTTCCATTGGAAGATGGAAATGGTCCCATGAAGTCTATCCCCCATACATCAAAGATCTCAACTTCGAGAATGTTGTTTAGTGGCATCTTGTATCTTCTAGAAACAGTACCTATCCACTGACACTGATCACAATCCTTCACAAAAATTGTAGCATCTTTAAATAAAGTAGACCAAAAGAATCCATATTGCAATACCTTATACGTCGTGTGCTCGTCTCCATGATGCCCACCTTCTGGTGAAGAGTGGCAACTCTCCAACACTTGCAATGCCTCATGTTCAGCTATACACTTTCGCACCATCTGATCAAGTCTCTGCTTGAATAAGAAAGGCTCATCCCACATATAAAATCACGCCTTTTACTTTAGCTTTTGCTTCTGATGTGTTGAAGCCCCAGGTGGAAATAAACCAGTCACCAGAAAGTTGACAATATCAGCATACCAGGGTAATTGTGCAAGGTCCAAGGCCAATAATTGCTCATCAGGGAAATCTTCGCAAATATGTCTTTCATTCCTCACATGAGATGAGTCCTCCAATCTAGAAAAATGATCGGCTATTTGGTTCTCAGTCCCCTTCCTATCTTTCATTTCCTGGTCAAACTCTTGCAAAAGCAATATCCATCTAATTATCCTTGGCTTTGAATCCTTCTTGTTGAATAAATACATAATCGCAGCATGGTCAGTGTAAACAACAACCTTGGTGCCCACCAAGTACGACCTGAACTTATCAAACGCAAAAACTAGCGCTAGCATCTCCTTTTATGTGACAGTGTAGTAAGCTTAAGCTGCATCAAAAGTCTTTCTAGCATAATTGATAGAGTGAAACATCTTCTCCTTACGCTGGCCAAACACTGCACCAACCGCTGTATCGCTGGCATCAAACATGAGCTCAAAGGGTAACTCCCAGGTAGGAGCAATCAGAATTGGGGCTTCGGTCAACCTCTTCTTCAATAGCTCAAATGCATGCAAACAACTTTCATCAAATACAAACATCACCTCCTTTTCAATAGGTTGCACATGGGTCTTGCAGTCTTAGAAAAGTCCTTAATGAATCTTCTATAGAACCCAGCGTGTCCCAGGAAGCTTCTAACTCCCTTCATAATGATGGGTGGTGGTAATTTCTTAATGACCTCCACCTTGGCTTTATCAACTTCCATCCCATTTCTTGAGATTTTGTGCCCTAGTACAATCCTTCTCGCACTAAGAAATAGCACTTTTCCCAGTTCAACACCAGATTCGTCTCTTCACATCTTGCAAGGACCCTGTCAAGATTAGTCAAACAAAGATCAAAAGACTCACCAAACACTGAGAGTCGTCCATGAACACCTCAACAAAATCCTCCACCATATCATGAAAGATTACCATCATGCATCTCTGGAATGTAGCCGGTGCATTGCATAATCCGAATGGCATACGTTTGAACGCATAGGTGCCATATGGACAAGTGAATAAAGTTTTCTCCTGATCCTCTGGTGCAATGACTATCTGATTATAACCTGAGTAGCCATCCAAGAAGAAGTAATATTCTTGCCCCTCCAGTCTATCCAACATCTGATCAATAAATAGCACCAGATAATAGTCCTTCCTTGTGGCATCATTCAACTTCATGTGGTCCATGCATATACGCCACCCAGTTACCGTCCTTGTCGGGATCAATTCATTCTTCCCATTTGTCACCACTGTTATACAGCCCTTCTTTGGCACACACTATACCGGACTCACCCGGTCAGATATGGGGTATACTATCTCCACATCTAACCACTTTATCACTTATTTCCTTACCACATCTTTCATTACTGGATTTAGTCTCCGTTGGTGTTCTGCACTCGGCTTATGCCCTTCTTCTATATAAATCTTATACATACACAACGCGGGAATTATTCTGTGAATGTCGGACATTTGCCTGCCTAAAGTTGTTTTTCTCTTCTTCAGAATACTCAATGCAGCCTCCACTTGTGATTCAGAAAAGTTTGCAGACAAAATAATAGATAAGGTCTTGTCTTCACCCAAAAATGCATACCTGAGATGGGCTGGCAATGTTGTAGCTCCAGCTTGGGTGCTTCTTCGATGGAAGGCTTGGGTGAAGGACCCAACTCCCTGTTCAAAGGCTCCCAGTGGTATCTTGATGTGCCCACACTCGACACATCCAAAAACTATACCATTACCTATGCTTCAGCATCCCCATAGATAACATCTCCCACTAGTACACGCTCCAACGGGTTTTTGGATGCAATAAAACGAGTTTGTGCTTCAAGATCTATCACCGTTATAGCAGACAACTCTTCATACACTGCTGGGAGTTTCAACGGCTTATAGACATCAAATACTTCCACTTTGACATGTGCCCGCATAGTAGAGTTGATCGGCTGCTACATCTATCATAGCACGCCTTGTAGCCCAGAAAGGTCCTCCCAAGATTAATGGAACCTCAGGATCTGGCTCAAAATTTAAAACCACAAAATCTACAAGGAATATCAAAGATCCCACTAGTACCAAGACATCCTCCACAACACCCTCTGGTCTAGCAACTGATCGATTTGCCAACTACAAGATAATGGTGAGGGGTTTAGGGCTACCTAACCCCAAATTTTTGTACAACGATGTTTGCATCAAGTTTATAATAGCTCCCAGATCACACAATCCTCGCGCATGGATACTCTGCCCTATAGTGATTTGAACCGTAAAGCTGCCCGGATCTTTCAGTTTTGTGGGCAACTTATTTTGTATTCGGGAGCTGCACTCTTCAGTAAGTGCTACATTTTCGTATTCAATCATCCTCCTCTTATTTTCCACGATCTCCTTCACATACTTTACATACCTAGGTATATACCCTTCAAAACATCTACCAACGGTAAATTAATGTGAACTTACTTTAAAAAAGAGTGAAACTTACCAAAACATTCGTGCTCCTTCTGCTTTTTAAACTTCTGAGGAAATGGTGGAGATGGTTTCACTATTGGTTGCACTCTTTCCTCTTGTGCAACAGTCTCACTCTCCTTGGGCTCACTCTCTTTCCTAGCAGATTCAACATTTCGCTTCTTGGGAGCCAACTTCTCCAACTGTAACCCGTTGTGCGTACCTACCACATTCACTTGCCTGGGATTAGGATCAGTGCTTCCCAGCAAACCTCCTTGAGGTCGTGAGTTCTGGGCACTAGCAAATTGACCAAATTGTTTCTCCAGGCTCTGGGTGGCTAACTGGTTATTTCTCACATGAGCAGCTAACTGAGCTTGATCATCCATGATCTTCTTTAGCATCTTCTTCATTCTCATGTTACCTTGCTGATTATTGGGCTGCTCTTGTTGGGCCTGTTCTTGGTAACCATGTGCATTCCCCTGGGGTCTATACTGATTCTAGCCTTGAGCCTGATTCTGATTTCCTCCCCAGGAAAAAATTGGATAATTTCGCCAATCGGGATTGTAGGAGTTCCCATAATTCTGATGACCTCCTCCACATTGTGCATTACCTACCAAATTTACAGAATCTTGGTTCGCTCCACATACCTCCATATTATGGTCTCCTCCTCTGAAAATTTCACACCATGTGGGTGGCTTTTGTTCTGCATTTACCTGAGTTGGCTGCTTTCCTAGCGATAGGTTGTTGAAGTGAGTATTCATCATGTTTTGCATTGCAGCAATCTGTGTAGTTAATGATGTCACTGCATCTACCTCAAACATTCCAGCAGTTTTCTGTACCACAGGTTTAGCTCCTCCTCCATTCCACTCGGGGTGAACAACTCAACATAAGTCTTCCTCAAAGCCTGTCCACCTGCAGCTGAATCAACTAAAATCTTGGTGTTAGGTTCCAATCCTTCAATGAAGGTTTGGACTAACATCTCGTTAGCATGATGACGGTCTGGACAGCTCAACAACATCGATTTAAACCTTTCCCAAGCCTGGTACAAGTTCTCTCCTCCTTTTTGTCGGAAGCTCAGTATAACACTCCTTAGCTTAGCTGTTTTCCCAAATGGGAAAAACCTAATAAGGAACTTACTTTTGTGCAAGATAGTCCCATGAGGTTATGGAATTAGCGGGCTCAGAATTTAACCATCTTTTTACTTCCCCTAGCAGAGAAAAGGGAAATAAAGTGAGCCTCACGTAATCTTTATTTATTCCAATTGGAGTGTAAGTGTCACTGATTTCGAGGAAATTCTGGAAATGAACTTGTGGATCCTCGTGTGATAAACCAGTGAACTGTCCATTTGTGTGCAGTAGCTGCACCATACTCTGCTTCAGTTCAAATCTTCCACCAGCTATGAATGCATGAAGTCACACTGGTGGTACGTGGGATTGCCACGTCTCTCACTTTCATCTCATCCATTACTACAGGTTCTTCTTGTTCAACTCTTGCTACAGGTGTCACTGGTTCACTAGCAACAACAGGGACTGGGTAAGTGAGTCATCTTTGCCTTCTCCGGTAATGAACAAATCTTTCTGGTTCAGCTAGAGGCTCTACCAAGTCCTGATCATTTTCCAGTTTGAAAGTTCAACAAAACCTGCAAAATGAATTGCTAATATCAAGTTGTCAACACTTGCTTTTTAACTTCAGAAATTAGACAAATCAAATACTTCCTAGTTCTAAAGTCCCCGGCAGCGGCGCCAAATACTCCATGCGTCCAATCGCACACGCAAGTGTACGTGGTCATTCAAGTATTAAAATAGCTCTTATTAAGAGCTGAGTATCGTACCCATAAAGAATTACAATTAGAATAC